TGCATATTTTCCACTCAACACACATGAATCGTAAGTATATACATGTTACTAATCAAAATAGTAATACTTTGTTCTTCAGAAATATAGTTAATGAAAACTAACATTAAAATATAGTACTCAATAGAGAAATAAGGACATTAGTAAATAAAGTTAATGGGGGGGTTTAAGGAAAGAGAGATTACCTATACAAATGGGTTCCCTTGTAGGGTATATTTGGGAGAACCACAGAGTTGGCAGTAACTATATTTGTTTCTGTTTAGTTTCTTTATTCCATACCTGCTGGGTGCAGAGAAACTCTTATACTGTTTTAGCATGGCCATAAGAACATCAAAGCTTGTATGCATTAATGTAACCCAGTAAGCTGGATACGTTGGAATCCCTTATTAACTACACAAAATTAGATGTGTTACTAGGACACTTCCACCCTAGTCAACATCTTCTCTTAAGGTAGGAAAGTAACAACCAGTGGGAAAAACACCACAAATCACAGGGAAAGAGCTGGCAGTTGTACATTGGGAGCATGGGGCAATCTCACTGTGACCTCTTTCTCTGGCGGGAAAGAAAATTATTCAGCGTAAAAATCAGCAGCACCAACAGAAGCTGCCATCTTCCTTCATTCAGGTCCTTCCACATGAAGTTCTTCAGTTCTGTTCAGTTGCAGTTCTGGTCACTCACATCCAGCAAAATCATCCTTTAGTATTTCAGGTGGATACTATATCAAGAAAGGTGCCCTCTGACTAGATTACTCACACTGTGTTATACAAGGGAAACTGCTGAAGACTGCTAAGTGTTCCTCAGCCCTTTCAGATGGGCTGGTCAGCTAGATTTTGAAATCTGACATCTGGAGACCCATAAATTGACTAAGAGGGGTACAATGTATGGGGGAAGAGGGCTTAAGCTAAATCTATAGCCAATCTTTGCATGATTACACAGAGGATCAGGAAATATCCTACCTTGATACACATTGTAGTAGGAGAAACAACTGCATATAAACAAGATACCCAGCTTGAATTGAGACAGCTCCTAATGCTGGGAACACTTATACTAGAAAAATCACATACAGTGAAGAAGGGGTTCAATCACTGAAGCAGATAATCGGAGAGCAATAGTCAGTAGCCCACAGATACAAACAGTTAGAGGAAGGGAACAAACCATATGCAAGACACAGGCCTACACCCAAGGAGTAATTCAGGCCCAAGTTAAACGCATAGCCACAAGCATACTTTGGTTCAGCCAATGGTAAGGAGACATAGTCAACAGTGTCCCTGTTGTAGAAGCCAAGATCACCAACACATTAACAGAGACGCACATGGAATTGCCTCAAGGACACACCTGTTTCACAAAGACGTGAGCAACATCACAGGTGGATTGCCAGCCTCCATGTATGAAAACTCACAAATATTTGTTCTCAGGGACTTCCAAATGCAAATATTGGAGTCCCAAATGCAAATATTCACAGACATGGAATTACTCAGAAGTCATAGTCACCATTAGCCTGGCCCAGACCAACGATCCATCTGAGCCTAGTCTCCAGAACTCAACAAGAGAAACATGGCTTCAGCCCCCATTGCAATGGGGGCCACTGGGGGCAGGGGTGGGGGCTCCATTTCCAGTCCTAGGAGAAAAAGGGGCAGAAACACATGGGTGACTCACAGCCACTGACTGCTGGTGAGGTTGCACAAAAGACGTACCATGCACCCAACACGGGTGTGATGCCACTGGGCCTTATCCAGATACCCACCCTCAAAAGGAATGAGGCTGAAAGAGTGGTGAGAATAGAAAAAATTCACACATCCTTCTACATAAGACAGCATCTCCTCAGGGATTCCCACACACACATCCTGAAAACAGTTTCCAGAGGAAATCACAGTGGTAATTATGGCATGATTTTATCTTCTCCCTCACACTCGCAATTTAACAGATGGCTTGCCTCCGCTACCTAAGCTTCTTGGCTGATCCCACCCTCCATCATCCCCTCAAACACAGTCTCTCTCTCTCTCTCTCATTTTTTAAAGACCAGCTTAATGTCCCACTGACAGAATCCTGTGACAACAGGTTCCACAGGTTGCTCATAGGCTCTGTGTAGGAAAAACGTCTGGTAGCAACAAAATAGATGATAGAGCATCCTCAGTAAGGCAAATGTAAACATGCCAGCCAAGATAAACAGCTTATTGTCATTTGTCAAACACCAACAACACCTTTGCAATGTCAGCTTTCCCCCTCTCTTTGGTTCAGCTCCCTGCTGCTTTTTTGTTCTTCAAGGAATGGCACCTGACCTGTGATATCCAACCTCATCACCATCTCCGTTGTTTCCTGCCTAACTCCATCTTTGTTCCTTTCCTCCATCTTTTAATTCTCCATGCTTTGCTTCCCCCTCCCCGCCCTTGGCTGAGTGTCAAGAGTTCCAAAAGAGTTGGAGGCCACCCAACTTATGGAAAAGGGGGCCTAACATTTGAATGGTTGTGAGAGCCTTTTGTAAAACACACGGTCTCACTTTTAATCTCCAATTTCACCCAAACACTTTTCCCAGGTGTCTTCTAAAGCCAAGAGCTAGGAGGGCATCACAAAAGGAATCTGAGCCCAAATCTGGGAAAGCCCTGGAAACATCTGCAAGAATTCCACTGCATCCTGGCACCAACTCACAATGACTGAGCCTCTTCCCCTGCCCCCCCACTCCCCCCAAGAGAAGCAAATCCACTGGCCAGGCAGGCCAAAGAGCAAAGCTGCCATCTCCAATCACCCTTCTGTCCTCTGGAGACCAGCGAGCTTAAACTAGCCCCCCACCCCCAGGCTAAAGAGAGAGTTGGCCAAGAGACTGGTCACTGTCTGCCTTTCTTGACAAATAGGTCCTGGCTCCAGTGAATGGAGCTGGATTGGTGGGGAAGTCAGCTATGGATTTCCAACCAAGAAGTTGGGGAACCCAAACTTCTGTAGGACATGAGCTGAGAAACGGGGGACCAGCCAATGCAATCATTTGGGGGAACAGGTAGCTTGAACCAACGGAGTGCCCTGGATTTTTTCCCACTCTACCTCAACTTTCTACATGTTTATCTTTCTGGGGGTGGGGGTAGGGGAGAGAAATGAAACCCGGGCAGCTTTCCATTGTCCCTTAGCCCCTTTTGCTTTGAAGTGCCAGCAATGAGTTTTTTTTTTTCTAATGACCAAGAGATAAATCACTCTGCAGCTCAGCCTCTGAGCCTTTCCATTCTGTTCACGAAAACCCTCTCCCTTAATTCCCATCCTACCTGTCAACCCCCTTATTAAGAGGCCGATTTAGACAAACCTTCAATCAACCTAATCATGCATTCCACCTTCCCCCCCCCTCATGTGGGGAAGAGTTGTGTTTTTAGGAGCCAGTCTGCTGCCTAAAGAGGTGGAAAAGGAAAGCTCCTAAGCCCTCCACACATCTTCAAGATACCTGGTTTTCCTTTGGGCAGGCTTGGGACTTCTCTCTCCATTCCAGACCCTAAGGTCTGGAAGAGAGGTGTGGTTCCTCCACATTTGGGGATGGATAGAGTCGCCCCAGCCCAGCTCCACCAGCTCACCTTAGCCAGCTTCTCATCCAGGCATCCTTTGGCTTGGCGGGGGGCCCTCACCCCAAATTCCTCCAACAGACCTAAAAGGGTCCCGTCTTCTTTTGTGCCTCCAATCCCAGCATCAAATGGCATTCTCAGCTATCTAAGGCCCTGCTATATGCATGTTGTGTGTGTGTGTGCATGCGTGTTTGTGACTGTGCGTGTCTTGGAAGCTGGACAAAACCCAGCAATACCCACCCCTTGAGCTATAACTCTCCCATTCCCCAGTCGCCCTTCCTTTTATGGACAGATCTTGCAGTGGGGAGGATGCCCTGTTACTTTAATCATAAAGCCCCACACAGAGAGCTAAAGATGCCTGAATCGGATGCTACTTCAACCACTACTACTACTCTCCCACTACTTTCATTAGACATCTCTTCCTTACTACCCTTTCTTTTCTGGGCTCAGCCCAAGCCCCGTAACCATTAGGCACATCTCTCCTTTTTCTAGGACTCAAGGCACCCTCCCACTGGTTCCCACTCCCAAAGGGCCCAGGGGATCATTCCCAATTTTAAACCTGCCCACTTCCTACTGGCTACCCCCTGCCCTCCCTGCCTGGAGGCCATTCCACACCACATGAGAAAAGGAACTCTTTGGGGTGAAATCAAACGGGCATTTACCCCCTCCCCCCCTCTCTTTCTCTCTTCTAAAGGGGAAAAGAGAACAGATGCCCTTCATTTAAGCTGCATTTTCCCCCCTTTTCAACCAATACAGATTCTCTTCTCTGCTAAGAAAAAGGCAGAGGCTGCAGTCAAGTCTCTATAGTGTACATGTTTCTGATTCTTTTGCAGTTCCAGACCGGTCTGGATTAATTCAGCATACAGTAATGAGGTTAAAAAAAAAACACCTTTTTTTTTTTTTTGGCATTTCATATTCTTGCAGTCTGGATGATCAATGCCACAAACAAACCAGGAGTGAAGGTACGCGCTCTCTCTCACACACACATGAATATCAGAAAGGGAGGGGGGAAACTAAGAGAGGGGCCATCACCCATTCTTTTTTTCCCCCTGCAAACCAAGCCCCGGTGGTGGTGGGGCAGGTAAGAAGAGGCAATAATGTGCTTTCGGAAGTCTGAACTCAAACCTCAGGCTGGGGACACGTCCCACAGAAAAGGCAGAGGACAAAATTGTGACATCAGGGTGAAGGGAGAAATGCTGTTTTTTTTTCCCCAAGGGAGGGAGGGTCTCCTTCATTTTCCATCAAGGGTTCCCCCCCTTTCTCTGGCCCCACAATAAGAAAAAAAATGCCCCCAAAAGAGGCAAGCAATGGAGCAGAAGCCCACTCACCCCCCACCCCCAAGTAATAATCCTCAGTGCTGCGACTCTTCCACAGACCGGGACATTTGCTGCGGGAAGGTACAAATTCAATACATAAAAGAAGAAGAAGGTGGGGGGGCAATGAATTAAATAATTAAATCCGGCTTACCTTTTCATGACAACTCCTGAGAAAAGGATAAACCAGGAAACTGAAGAGAGGAGCAAAATGTTCTCCGCCTCTGGAGATACACAGAGAAAGAGATGGTCTGTATTTTTCTTTCTTGATTTTGGGTTTTTTTTTAAAAAAAATGAAATATTATTTTTTCCTAGCGTCTCCCCCCCCCCCCCCCCCACCCCCATTTCTTTCCCTCCTGCGGGAAATCAAACAAGCGCTAAATCCAACCAGCCGCGGAACCAACAGCAGCATCTTCCCCTCTCCTTCCCTTCCAAAAATTTCTTTCCGATCTTTATTCACCGCTCAGGCGCCCCCCCTTGCTTTTCTCTCCCACCCCCCCAACCCCCATCTGTCTCCGTTCAAGGTTGTTGCAGGCTTCCGCGCTACACATGTTGCATCCCAAAGTTAAAGCAGAACCTGGCGCCGAAGCGGGCCCGGCGAGGAGGGGCTAAAATAAATAAATAAAGGGGGGAAGCCCCGCTGCCTTCGGCTCCCCACCCCCGCTTCCAAGCTGCCTTTCCCGGGGCCTCCAGCGTAGAAATCTCTGCATCGCTCACAGCTTTGAGTTTCCTTTCCTTTATTTATTTATTTGTCTCTTAGACCACCCCTCCCTTTTATTCTTCTTCTTCTCCTCCACCTCCCCCCAGCCACCCTCTTTTCCCGGGTCACCTTTCTATAAAGACACGCGGCGGTGCAAAAATAAAAATAAAATAAAAATAAAAAAAAGAGGGGTGCGAGGAGACGGAAGGAGAGAAGCGCACGGGGAAAAGGTGGAGGAGAGGAGGGGGCGGGCCCGTTTGGGGGGGGGGGTAAAGGCTTGATATATTTTTATTCCTTTAATGCAGACCAGACCACGTCGCCTGTCCTTTCCCCCCGATCTTGCAAGGCAAAGGCAGGCAGGCGGGCAGGCGCGCGCGCGCGCAAGCACCGGGGAGGGTCATTAGCATTCAACACCCATCCCTGAGCCTCACCACCAGCGCGGCAGAAGCAGGTTGCGAAGCCGGCGCAGCCGAAGGAGCCCAGCGCCGCAGTCCTGGGCGCTGGAAGGCGGGGAGGGAATGGGGGGGGGGGAGAGGAGGAGAGAAGCAGGGATCCGACCCGATCCCTCGGCTCCCCGAGCCGGAGAAGGGAAGCTCGACCGTGCACGCGCACACGCCACCTGGCACCGGCAACCGGCAGAAGCTGGGTCCGGCGTCCTGGGTCTCTGGGCAGGTCTCAGAGGCCGCCGCCGCCGCCGAGCTGAAAGAAAAGCGACAGCCCACCCGCTCTAGCTCGGAGGGTGAGATTGCGCTCCCACGGGGAGACAGGATCTCTCTCTCCACCATCAGAGAAGAGAGACCAAAAAGCAAATTCACCGCAGAGGGAGGGGGGGAAGGTGAAAATTGACCCCCACCCTCCCCGGCTCCATTGGCTTCAAAAGTCCACCGCCCCTTTCCAAACTCACCCACGAGGGAGAGAATGGAGCGAAGGAACACACCCCAACACTTTCCGTTGCATACGAGAATCATGGAGATCTGTGTAGATGGAGCCGTCCCGTGTTTTAATAGGGCTCGGAAATAAGCAGAGCAGCAACCGGGTTGCAGAGAAGATGGGGTAAGGTGGGGTGGGGTGGATCCTGCCGGCTCTCCTTGGCCGCCATCGCTTACGCCAGGAAGATCCCTCGGGTGTTTTTGCAACGCACGGGAGAGGACTTTTAAAAAAATAGGTGTGAGAGTGCATAAAATATCCTGTCCCAAAAGTCAGGGTAGCGCACACGGCAGTTGCTCTCTTTTGCCTTTGTCATTTCCGCCTTGTAGCCAAAAGGCCGAGAGGCTCGTTGTCAGGGGGACGGATGGGAGACCAAGCGGAGTTTTTTTTTTTTTTTTTTTTAAGGGGCGGTAGTTATTCAGAGAAAACTACAGAGGGCGCTACGCCGCTTCCATCTGGAGGTGTAGATTGACCCCCGAGGGTGGCGTTTGGGAAGAGTTTCAAATAACACAAAAAACGAGACCGCTTAACCCATTTTTGAGGGTCAGGGCGCAACCGAAGGATCCGATTTAGGAGAAGCGGGGAAGCAGTGCTCGGATGCGTGTGTATGTAGACTCCAAGACTGGGATGGGCTGTAAAAGGGCAAGAAAGAAAGCACCCAACCGGTCACCCGAAAAGCAGTTTTATTAAGAATCATGCCGTTAGCCTAATCCGGAGCGCGTCGTTGAGTTAACGCTGCCAGGCGGCCGTTCCGCCTTCATCTCCTGCAAAGGTCTTTCCCGGATTTCTCCCAGCTTGAGCCTCACGCAAGGTTTGTGGCTGAGCGCAGCCGTTCCCGAGCGAAGAAGCACATGCCGGCTTAGAGCCCCGCCAGCACCTGCCTCCCTACCTCTGCCTGCCTTTCGGCGCCTGTTCCTTGACCCGTTCAAGGGATCGAAGGCTTGGAAAAACAGGAATGGGCAAGACCCACGGCTGTAAAGCTCAGGGATGGCGCGAGGAATCCGCCTGCTTCCCCTTCCCCTTCCTCTGCGCTTTAGGACTTTGGTTCACTTACCTGAGCTGCAATTCTCCCTCTAACCAGGAGATGGCAGCAAAGCTTCCCAGCGGGCCAGGTCTCTCTGCAGCCACCTAGTGGCCGCGCGCACGTGGGCCGCAGCACCCCAACTAGAGAAAAACGAAAAGAAGAAACGAGGCAGAGAGGGAAGAGCCGTGGCCTTCAGGGATGCGGAGCATCCTCCTGTTCTCGCTCTTTTCCCCTTTCATGCTGCTAGTGAAGGCATGAGGGAGACCGTGTGTGTGTGTGTGTGTGTGTGTGTGTGTGTGTGTGTGTGTGTGTGTGTGTGTGGAGCGAGCGAAAGAGCAAGTACTTATCTTCCTGTGTGGGGAGCTGTGGGGAGGGGGTTTGACTGAGTTATCTCATCAAGGGGGGGCGTACGTGTGTATGTATGTGTGTTTTTTCACCAAGGGGGTGGGGATTTCAGAAGTTTGCTTTGGGGCCAGAAACATTTGTGCACCAAGTGGCACCACAACTTACCTCCTTGCCCCACGCACCTCTCCAACCCTGCAAGACTTACAAATAACTCAGCTCCCAGGATTGTTTTTGTTGTGGGAAAAATTGGTGGAGGAAGGAATATTAGGTATGTTAGTCGCCTTGAGTTATTCATAAAAATAATAAAGACAAGGATATAAAATCAGATTCCAACCCTGGGAGAGGAATGGGAAATACCATGTCACTCCAGTCTGTTTGTGCATCGGTCACATAACGGAGCACTCTAGGGGCCCCTTGCCGATTTTCACACCGCTAATGCCAGATCAAACAGATTTTCAGTCTAATCCATTCAGCAAGACATCTTGTTCCCCAAAGTCCTTTCACCTTTGATCGGTGAGATTCTGAGGACCGGCATCTATCTTAACACACCAAAAAGGAGAGGGACAGGATTTATGATGGATGACTTTGTCTTGGTGCTCAGTCTGCAAATGTCTTAACATCTCTCTCCCCCCTCTCCTCCCAACAAACACACACACACATTTCCCTGTTGAAAGCACCAGCACTCTTCTTGCCATACAAGGATGCTCAGATTTGGAGGGTTAATGTTGATTGTGCTCAGAGAATGATGCCAGTTTAGGGGCATAGGGCTAATTAGCAGGATGTTAGAAAAGTTGGCATGACTGGGTACCCTGCAGCACAGGTCCAGTTCATGCAGTTCTTCAGTGCAGAGAAGACTTCTGCATCTGTTAGGAAGGTGATATTAGGAAGATAAGACAGTTTTGCTTCTTCTGAAAGTCCCAAACAGTTGTTTTTATTAACTATTGTTCTCCCCCAAATAAACAAAAAAATAACACTCTGGAACATCGTCAGCAATGCAACACAATCCTATTACAGTTGCCAAAAAAGTTTTTGGAACCTCTTTGCTGACATCTAGCAGTGGTTGGGATCTTTTGTAGTTCTGCTACTGTTTACATTTAAACCATGGTAGGCAATCCCATGCTGCTCCATCACAACCTGTTAATAGGGTTTCCTGCTTGAGCAAGGAGTTGGAGTAGAAGACCTTCAAGGTCCCTTCCAACTCTGTTATTCTATTATTCTGTTAATTCTGAAATGCTTTGTAATCCAGAGAACACCAAAGACTCCAGTGGCTGTTTCAAAACATGCTGAAACTAAACATTTTCATTTCCCAAAGAAACAGTTTTCTTTGCAGATAGTCCTCAATTTATGATCACAATTGGGACTGGAACAGTTGCTTAACCAGGCAGTTGTTAAGTGAATCACACCCAATCTTGCAACCTTTTTTTGCTGTGGATGTTAAGAGAGTCATTATGGTGATAAATCCCACCCTATCATAGCAAATCCAGATTCCAAATTCTCCCATTGGTTTTGCTTATCAGAAGCTTCCTTGAAAGGTTGCAGATGGCGATCACATGACCCCAAAGTGTTGCATCCATCATAAATACACACCCAATTGCCAAGCATCTGAATTTTGATCACAAGTGATAGTCATAAGTGTGAGGACCAGTTATAAATCACTTTTTTCATTGCTGTCTTAACTTTGAACAATTATTAAATGAATGGTCGAATATCGAGGACTACCTACCCTGTTTTCCACCAAAATAAGACATCCCCTGATAATAAGCCCAATTGGGCTTTTGAGCACATAGGAATAAGGCCAAGCACTTATTTCAGGGTTCCAAAAAATATAAGACAGGGTCTTATTTTTGGGAAAACATGGTATATTATTATTATGCAGCCTTTGGCAGGATGGATCAACTATTTTGACCCTTTTGTCTCCTTTGAAGATGTTGCAACTTCGGGATGGAAATTTCCTTTTTCTTGTTGATACTTCTGTACTCCTTTCCTTTCCTTTCCTTTCCTTTCCTTTCCTTTCCTTTCCTTTCCTTTCCTTTCCTTCCCTTCCCTTCCCTTCCATTCCTCTCCTCCCCTCTCCTCCCTTTCCCCTTCTCTTCCCTTCCCTTCCCTTCCCACATAGCATCTGCAACACTTGTCTGAAATGGTATGGGGTCTCCTGCTTGAGCGGAGAGTGGGTTGGACTAGAAGACCTCCAAGGTCCCTTCCAGCTCTATTCTGATGGATAAACAAACAGAACATTAGAACTGGGAAGTTTAAAGAGGGAGGCTAGAATAGGAGGAGCGTTTTAGCTGAGTCCTTCTAACAGCAGCGGGAAAGCAGAACAGCTCAGAAAAACAAAGAACTCCCTTCTCTATTCATGACGCTCGACTTTTGCTGGCAGGGAACAAGGGAATGAGGAAGAAAAGGAGAAAAAATAGAAACAAGAGAATGAAAATTGCCAGGATTCCAGCTGCCTTTAATGAGGGAGCTCCATCCCACATTTTAGGGGAAAAGGAAACCAGACTAATAAATTGAGGCAGGATGAAACTCTTACTTCATTCTCTGAATGGAAGAAAAGCACTTGCAGAGAACCAGAACAGGTATCGGAACTCCTAACTTCTGAATACTTCCATACCTGAAGAGAGGAAAGGCGACATGACACACAAAAATGTTATTAATGTTTAATAACATTTTATGTTATTAAACATTACATTAATGTTGTAGAAAGGATTGGGGAAAAGGAAGCAGCATAGTCACTCGGGGGTTTTTATGTTGGATTTCTACAAGAATTTTGCAGACAGAATTCATAAATTGGGGACTGCATC